CACCCCCGTGCTGACACGGTGGGTGTGTGACAGCAGACGTGTCACCTGAGTGCACACAAGGCCACCTGTGACCCGGTGCCTCTCTCGTGTACAGGAGCACCCTGTGTCAGCTGCCACTGGTGTTCAGGTTGACCCAGGAGCAGAGCCCATCTATGTGCTGACACCTTTTCCATGCCAGTGTCAGCCACGGGCAGATGCCAACCATGTGCCAAGACGTGTCCCTGTCCCCTCCCTGCACAGCTCAGTGCTCACCCCCCAACCAGGACCCAACATGGCTCTTTCCAACAGAACAGCTCCTTTATTTTATCATCCCCCTCACTTTGGGCATCTGATTTGCACCAGGCAGGGAGAAGAGTTGCTCAGCACAGAGAGAACCCAGGCTCACCCCGCAGACCTCAGCGGCCAAAGAGTTTCCAGCTGTACAACGGTTTTGCTCCAAGTTTGTAGGGAAACGGTTCTTCCCCAAATGGGTTAAGAGGAGTGGATTATGTTTATGTGCTTTTCCCTCTCCTGCCACGATTATGCCATTGGAAATTTGAACTGTAGTTGCTAATCTCACCTGAGTCAGTCATCTGCACAGATTAAACAGGCGCCTTTTCACAGCAACAACACTAATTTGCCACCCATATTTGGATTCCAAGCCCCAAGGAAAAGCAAGCACTGGAAAACCAGAGCCGAGGCCCCCTGGAGGCCCAGGTCAGAGTTCGAAGCGGCTGTGTATGTGTTTGGATTTTAGCTTGTTGTACTTGGTGATCAGGTCCAGCTTGCTGTGCCCCAGAGTCATTCTCTTCTCCGCCCCATACGCGCTGTTCTTTTCCATCAGCACGTCCTCCGGGAACTTGTCATAGCAAGGCACTGCAGGCTTTTTATCCCGTCGGAGCTGGTTGTATGGGGAGAACAGGTCAAATTTCCCGTGTCCAGGGCTCTGTCTCTTTTCCACCCCATAAAACACGTCGTTCTCAGCTGGCAGCTCCCTGGGGGTGCCCGCAGGCCCCCTCTGCTTCAGGCTGGTCCCGTTGCTCCCAGCACCCTCCGACAGGGACTGCAGCGGCTGCTCCGGCCTCGGAGGGGAGCAGTGGCTGCTGTTGGCCTTGGAGTCCCCTTGATAACCAGGTTTATTGGAGCTCAGGGCAGGGGAGGGCTCTGGCTGCAGGAATGTCCTTGCTGTCACGGGGTTTGGTTTGGGAAACAAGGTGGGTTTATTTGGAGGACTGGTCGCTGAGTCTGGTGGTTCTTCTTGCTGCCTAGTGGGCTTCAGGGATGTGTCTTCCTTCCCCTTTTTATTGCCAGAATCAGAGCTGGAGTCTTGCTTTTCCTGCTGTGCACTGCAGCTGGAGTTTTTCATAAAGGGAGACATTTTTATGCTCCTGATGCTCACGTTGGAAAGGCTGCTGGAGGGGCTCAGGGTCTCAGCATCATTCCCCTGAGGGGGTTTTAAAAGGCAGTTGTCAACTTTTGAGGTATTGCAAGAAGAGAGGCACGTCCCAGGATCCGGCACGCAGAAGCTGGTCACTGCTCTGGACTCTGCATACAAGTACCGGAATTCCTTGTCAAACTCGGCAACAATTTGGCCACGGAAGTGGGTCACCAGGCCGGTGTGGACCTGGCTGCAAAGCCAGGTGAAACTGCAGGAAAAGAAACAAAACACATGGAACTTCAGTTCACAGAGTGCCAAGATACCCAGCGTGGATTTTAACATCCCAGGGATGGATTGCTCCCCAGTTTGCGTCTTCAGGACTTCCTCTAAGTCTGCAGGTCTGAGATCACTCGTGGAGATGAATGTGCCCATCTCATGATTACAGAAGAGCAACCCCAAAACTGTCATTTCATTTCAGCTTGGGGGTCCCCTCCTCGCCTCGGAAGGAGCTACATTCTCATGTCCTGACACCTGCAACACATGATGGGCTTGAAGGAGCTGCTTAGGCAGACAGGAGGTAAGGAATGGAGACCCTGGGCACTGCCTGGAGGAGCAGAGGTCTCCAGAGCCCACAGGAATAGCTCAGGGCAGGAAGGCTGATGATGTTTTCCATAAATTTGTGAGATTCCCAGATGTATGGTCTTAGAAGTTTGCTCAGCAAGGGCAGTCCCTGCCCTCACAGTACAGTGTTTTGGAATCTCTTCTGGGAGCTTGTCCTATTCCACCTTAAAACCAATCAGTTTTTGCCCCAGCTGGGGAAAAACTCCATTAATTGCCACTCTTCATATTTTCCTTATCTGTTAAATCCTACCTGTTGTTTGTGCCAAAACTGTAACCTAAATAGTTCTTCCTCCATATCTCCCCCTAATCTTCATTTTCCTGGATTAAACAGGGAAGCTCCTCTTACAGAGCAGGCTCCTCAGGTTCCTGGTCATCCCAGTCACCAGCTGCTTCTTTTTTATTTTTATTCTTGCTATAGTCAAACCAGATCAGCATGTTTAATGTGTCAAATAAACCAGAACCTTCAGAGATGGCAATACAAGCTTAGGGCTGTGTTATCAGCTGCTGAAGTGAGACACTGACTCTAAAGAGGAGGATGAAATGAGAGAAACTCTGGGAGAGCAGTTGTAATGGGAGATTATAATTATTCTCAAGTAAATGTAATTTCAGGACAAGATACTAGCACTGTGTTTTGGGACCTCATCAATGTTTACCTCACAAGACAGCTACTTGGGAACTTCTAGTAAAATGCAGCTGTGGCCTGTCCCTGAGCACTGGGCAGTTGTTATGGGTCATACTGGTGTTTGGTGTGTTTAGAGTCAGCAGACACACCCCAAAGAGCAACACAGAATGAAAAAAAATCAATACTCTGCTGCATAATAGCAAACCAGGTAAATTAGTTAAGAATGAAGAATCAAAAAAAAGAGACTACTCAGAAATACCATACTGGAGGCTCAAAGCAAATGCTTCAAACCTTCACGAAGATATGAGAGGAAAAAAGCCAAACCAGAAACTGGGATGACTAAATGACAGAGGAGAAGCTCTTAAGTCTGGAAAACCCAGCTTTAAAAATGTTGGATCACACATTGCAAAGGGTGAAAGAAATAATATTCAGCTCTCTGTGGGGCACCAGGAGTGCTCAGAGAATTCCTCTGCATGCCTGTTTATTGTGCGGGAGCTTGGGATGATCCCTGCCCTGAGCCCCCCTTTGTACAGGGCATAAGGGAAGGTCAGTCTCCTGTGGAGATCTCTGTAGAAGAGATGAGAAAACATCAACAGAGCAGAGAGCAGCAACTGGGCAGGACCAGGGAATGTCAACCCCAGGAGTGCCATAGGATGAGACAGCTCAGGTGCCAACCAGGATGTGCCATCTCCCACTTGAAAGGGCCCTGGTTATCAGGAGAGTGGGAGGCTGTTACTGTGATAAAATGTTTCTAATGTTCCAGACCATTAGGTCTCAAACTGCACAGCACAAATTAGATAGATAGAAGTTGTGTAGGTACACAGATTAGTAGAGACTCTTCTAAAGAATACAATTAATGGCCAGATAGGAAATATGAGATGGTAGGAAAGGCAGCTTTGGCAGAGGAATGTTATCTCTCATGAAGCCTTGAGAGTTCTTTGAAGAAATCTATGAGTCCAGACAGGGGAGATTTCATGGACTGACACTGTCAAAGGCGTCTGTCCCAGGGCACTGCCCGGCTCCCAGGGGTGCTGGTGGCCATGTTGCTCACAGCTCTTCCCCTGCTGCACAACAGAGTCTGCCTTGCACCCCTCACCCTGTGAGCACTGGCTCCTGAACTGGGAGAGGCCCCTGGTTATCCAGAGGGAGGATCCTGCCTGCCACCCCTGTGTGCCCAGTCCGGCACCACTGGAAACAGCTGGGCAAGTGGGCCTGTTTGCCCCCCTCGTTCTGGCCAGGAGGTCTCAGACTCATGTTCTAGCAGGTACATCCCATGAGCTCCCTGCCCACCATGGCCTCTGGCCTCACCTTAGCAGAGGCAAACAACAGCTCTTGCTTAGGTTCTCCTTGCCTCCCTGGACAAAGTGGTTCCTACCTCCTGTCCTCTCCCAGCCCCTCTGACCCAAGCACTGCCCCCCAGTCCCAGCACACCCATCCATCTCCCCTCATCCATGGGAGCTGTCCTTCCTGCTGTGAGGGGAGAGCATTCCCCTGGCCTTATTACTGTCCCTGCCACTGATGCCTTTTATGGCTCCTTGCCCAGTCCGAGCATTCCTTGTCCCAGTTTCCCATGCTGATCCCACTCTGTGTCAGGATAGGACCTGGAAGGAATCATCCAAGTCCCCTGGTGGCACAGCCCTGCCCCTTGCCATGGTTTCCAGGTTTCCATGGTCAGATGTGTGCCTCGCCCATCCCAGCTATTCCTATTGCTACAAACTGATAAAGGTCTTTTTTTCCATGGATGGCATGGAGGAAATAGCCAAGGAATGAGCATCCTTGGTTTCTTCTGGTATAAAAATGAGGCATTGGATGAAGTGAATGGGTTACAAATTCAGTGCAGACAAGAAGAGGTTCTTCCGAGGCCAGACTGGATGGGGCCCTGAGCAACCTGGTCTAGTGGAGGGTGTCCCTGCCCATGGCAGGGGAGTTGTAAGGTCCCTTCCAACCCAAACCATTCTGGGATTCTACGACTCTGTAATTCCTTGCACAACACAACACACAGGTGGGCTGTGGAGCTCCTCCCTGCGCGTCACCGTGGATGCTGAAAGTTCATGTGACCTTCTAACAGTGTTGGGATTTTCCTGACGTTATTTTTTCCCATAACAAACTGCTGCACACAGAGCCCATATCCAGTTCTGGATCACCCTGGATCATGAAGGAGTCTGGGAGAGCATGGCTGTAGGACAGGATCCCTTCCCTGCCCTGCTTCCAGACAGTCCAGGAGCCGGTGCAGCTCAGCCCTTGGCCGGGAGATGGAGGTGCAGCATCACCTCCGGGACGGGGGGCACCTGCCTGTCCTCGCAGCACCCCCTGCCCGGGGCTCTGGCAGGGGCTGGGCAGGGGTGGCAGGAGCAGCCGCAGGATCCTCCATCTCAGCAGCATTTTCAACCCCCGGAGCAGCTCCCTGTGTGCCCTCCCTGCTCTGCTCTGGGGTCACGGGGGCCTTTCCCCAGCTCTGTGCAGGTGACTCCACATCTCCACACTCAGCCTCTCTGCCTCAGCTCTTCCCAACATACAAGATACCAGTTTTCAGCAGAAGGTTTTTCGCTTCTTTCAGCAGCTTCTCAAACCCATTTTTATTGCTCTTCTGTCACTTGGGCTGTCAAAGCCACTCTTTTCTTTCCAGATGCCAATGCAAACTTCTGTGTTTTGCTTTTGCTCGCGGCTAAAAGTAGGTACCACATAACACTCATTACTAGGCCTTTCATTTCAAGTGACATTTTCTTTGATAAGGTCACAACAACCTGCCTTTATTGCAGCAAGGCCTTTCAGCTGCTTCCAACACACTTGAAATCATTTCCACTCCTTGCTTTTCATCTTTGTTTTGATCCAAACCACTGCAATGTATTCAGCTAACATGGACACCCATTTCAGCTATCTCTTAGTTGTTATTCCCCCTTCCAGCAGCAAGCCTTGTTCCTTTCTGCTGGATTCACTTTTTATTTATACACCTGAGGACTTGCTCCTCCCTG